GGAAGTTTTCGTTTTATCCGACATAGTTGATAAAACATGGTAGACTATGATCGATATGTTTTCTCTATCGTTTTGATAAACAAAAACATTAATTTTTCATTGCAAACTTTGTTTAGTGTTTTTCTCAAAACGAGATTTTTGTTTTTCGACTTATACTTCTTCTCAGATTTCTCGGTCATTTTACCTGCTAGAAAACCTCACGAAAGTGTTAAATTATAGCGGTAAGTGTTGGCTACATTTTGACGCCAACCTAAGATCTCTAACATTAGATTTGAAAACTAACTCTTGAAGAATTAATTATTTATATTGAAATTTTTACTATAAGCTTCCTAGAGCCGAGTTCATATTTTCTCGAATCGGTTATTCTGGAAGGAAAATAGATTTTTGACAGAAAGAAGAGCGTTACCTAGGTGTCTGTCACGCTTAAGGGAAAGATTACATAACCAAGTGACGATATTTTCTTTTCGTCTGAGTTCTAATTTTCTCAGTACTATCATATGCAATCAATTTTACTAATACGTCATGTGAGGCGACTATTTACTTTCTATTTAAAAAAAAATATTCTATCACAAAGACTGAATTTATTTTTCTTATTTAGCTTCTGCTATTTGTTCACTGTGAAGAGGACTGGAAGGTCAAATTTCTATCCGTATACTTCAACACTCCTTTTATATTGTGTTTTACAGAAAAGAAAAAAAAAAGATAAGCCATCTACGAAATTTTTGAAACAATAAAACATTCTATATATAGAATCATTACGACCTGTAGGTTATGCTATAGATTCTAGTGATGATATTTACATCAACATAGAAGATATTTTTTTTTATAGGATATGCGAATCTTCTGAAAAGAATATTCGTGTTTTTTTTTTCTTTCGAAAAATAGAACATTATAGAATAATAATAGGAAAATAAATAATTTTATTTTATTCATTTATTTATTTCTATTTAGAATTAATATTTGCTTTGGAAAATATTGATGAAATAACAACAAGAATTCTTCCAAATAATCAACAAATCTTATCATATGATCTCAATTGGCTTACAAAAAATGTATTCTAAATATATATATATATATATAGAATTCTATGTTGCTTATTGTTATTATTCAGTGACATTAGTACGATGCACCATAAAAATATAAGCTTTCAAATGAAATAGTTTAGATATGCACAATGAAAACATTTTTTTTTTTTGCATTATATTTTAAATAAAAATAATACACATACACATATATTCATTGCAAATTAAACTATATTTAAAAATAAATTTGCTTGTTCTGTACAATTGTTGCACAATTGATGATTAATCACTATCGATGAAGTATTTTATATTAATTTACTTTGACACTATCCAGCAACAGATTCATTGGACACATTTGAAGTTGAGTTATTTTCAGTGTAAGCAAGACCCATTGTATTATTATTCTAATTAAAACAATTAAAAAAAAATTATTTTTTATTTTATAAAGATTAATTAGAATCTAATATTTACGTCCGTAGTACTACTTGCATACATTTCACTTGCAGCCACTAAAATAAATGTAAAAAACAAAAAATAATTAAATAATTATAAAGAAAAAATTTATCTTACTATCAGTAGTATATGGATCAAACATTGTATTAGATTAAAGTGTTCGTCTGAGTTAAGATTTAATTTTATATTAAAGATTTGTGTCTTTATATAGATTGGTAATATATGATTTTTGTATAATCAAAGAAAAGAAAAGTTTTTTTTTTTCCTTTATTTGATGACGCGATAGACATTTCGTGTATGATTTTAAAAAATTTGGACTTTGTCAAGTGTTTTCGTAGAAATCACACATTCATACCTGGAATCATACAAAAATTGATCAACTAGTTGTTTTTTTTTTATTGCTTTAAATAACAACAAAACAAATCAATTATTATAATCACTAAAAATATTACACATGTATATATATATATTATATGTAAAGCATACAAAAGGACGCAAAATAATACGCACATGTATTGCACGTAAAAATCAAAATGCACTAGACGGTAAATAAGGTTGTATCTATTACCGATGTAATACGAAAAGGAAACCGTGACATAAGAAAAAAAAAAATAATTATTTCTAATAACGTCTAGAGAATTGTGTATAATGATGGAAATTTCTATGATTTATTTTTCAGAGAAGTATTATGAATCGTGTTGACATAATAAAAGAAAAAGAATCAAAATCATTCTTTTAGATTATAGTTTACTTAAGTTGATTCAAAATTAATTATATATTATCTAGAAAACTATGTTTAGAAGTTTGCATGGTTCTAATAAATCTCTAAAAGCTCTTTCAAATAGAACTCAAAATGAAAATGAAATAAACGAATTCGATTAGCAACATTCTTTTGTTATTATTATTTTATAGTGTAAAAAAGAATCTTTCTAAGAAATGCAAACAATTAATTAACAAATAAAACCATTATTCTTTTTTTTGGGAGAGACACTATGTGAAAGGAGTGCTGAAATATATACAGTAGAAATTTGCAGTGTCTCATCGACATTGTGGATATATGATCAAAGACAATGTCTCAAGAACTATTTTCTTATTGCATTTCTGGAGAAAGATCATGAAGAAAAGTGTCTGAAAATAAAACGAATGAAACAATCTTCGTGCAATTAGTAATAGCAGCTGTACCGTATTTTACATTTTGATTCCGTAGGAATTATGCTAACAGTTTTTCTAGTGTCTAATGAGAAGACCCATCTGATTGATAATCTTCGTTTAAGTTCATATTTTGTTCATAGGTAAAACTTTTGAAAAAGTTTGTGTCATAAGGCTTTTCTTCTCGAATTTATGGTCATTTTATTGAAATTTAAGTCTATTGCAGAAAATCACGAAAAAAATCGTAAAAAGTAGTTTCGATTTGAAATTCTCTTCAATAATAGATCTCATGACCCCTTAGAATATCCAGAAAGATTCAGTTCAAGCAGATTTTTCCCTTCAGAGATAATACACTTTGCAAAAAAAAAACGTTACTTTCACATAAGAACTGCAAATATAGTTCGGCTTTTAGGTATATGATATCTTAAGAAAAAAACATGTATTTGAGCTGAAACATGCAGGATATCATAAGAGTCATGAGCACTATTATTGGAGAAAATTTCAGGCCGAAACTTCTTGTTGCAATTTTTCACTGTGATATCCTGCAATAGGCCGAAAGTTGAGTAGCATGATCATAAACTTGAAAAGAAAGGCCTAATAACACGAACTCTTTCAGGGCTTTTATCTACATTATAAGTCCTATCTATGAGAAAAATATAATGAGAGATGAAAATTATCAGTCAAATGAATTCTTTCGTAAGATAATTAACAAATTAAATAGCATTTTCATTTATTCTTTATTTAACAAGTTTTTTTTTTTCTTTCTAAAATTTCTACTACAGGTAAATAAACTGATACACCTTCTATTGATCAAAGAAATGTAATATTATATTCCCAAGACAAACAAGTAATAAAAAAAAGCGTCATTTTTTTCCTTGTTAAATCATCAACCAATAGAAAAATGACATTACATTTATGGATTACAAAACTCATGAAAGTCTTACTCCTGGTTTTTTCTTGATATTTTATTCAATTCAATTGTCTTTCAAATGCGAAGTTCTGAGCACGTCAAACATGGCGTAAAGATCTGAATGATTGTTGAATATCACATTCAATGAATTGATTGTCAACGTTTTTTCTTGGTAATTATACTTCAAAACAACCAAAATTAGAAGCATCTAAAACAAATGTTTTCATTCATCGCCATACAATCAAGTGTAATCTTCTCTTCTTTTTTTGATCGTTTCTCAAACACGGTACAACTGATCGAACTGAAATTTTTACTATAGATAGGGCAACTAAATTGAGTAGACGCATGTTCGAAAAAAAAATTAAAAGTGCAATTTTGTGGTTTTTTCTTTTTTTGAAAATCCTGGTTGGTTACGGTCACTATAAAGCCTTATCCAATGAAGCTTAAAATTTTACCACTGATATCTAGAAAGATTCTCCAATAGTAAAATCAGTCGTTTCTATTTTTAATTTTTTTATCCGAATTTACAGAAAACTGAAAGTTAAGATTTCAATTTTGGCATCGAACATTTACGTATAAAAAAAAGAAAATGAGATTTTTGGAAAAGCTTAAAACTACGATTGAATAGCGGCTCTATGAAAACCAAGATTTTTCAGAAAAAAACTGCAAAAATCTATATCGTATTTTTTTTCCGCTGAATAAAAATTTCAACTTCATCAGTTGGACTGTCTTCGAGAAACAGAATCAGTCAAAAACATGATGGGGGCAGGGATGTGGCGAAGAGAAAAAGAAATGAGGTGGTGCAAAAGAAATTTTTTCAAAACTTCAGGGTGTATTCAGGAAATTTTTTTAACGTGAGAGGATGTATTTACAGAATTTTAAAAAGTTGGGGTGGTGCGCACCACCCTGCACCCCGTGATCGCCACATCCCTGGATGTGGGATACCTTTAGACGAACATTACCTGAATGAGTTTGATATGACTTTGATGAATGCAATAAAACGAAAGGTCTCTTTACTCAAGAAAAGAAAAAATAATTGTCGATATTTCATCATTTCTTTTTTTTTTTTAGTTTTACTTGAATCATAAAAATTGAAAAAAGTGTTGATTTATTTGTCATAGAAAAGTTTCATTTACAAACAAAAAATTCATTTTCTTTGTATTCTGAAATGATAATTGAAGGAATTCATTAAGTTTATATTGATTTTACTAAACTATTTAAATCCATGAAAATATGTTAAGAATTCGATTTATACGATAATACTTTTTTCTTCATTTTTCTAAATTGTATCAAATCTCTTTTCTTATTTTTCTTCTTCTTCTTAACTCTAACATACATGAAAAAAAAAAAGAGAAAGACAAATAATATCAATACCTAAGTACGTAGTAGTTTTCTTTAAGAACTATTCATTGATTTATTAAGCAATTTTCAAGTATTGTGTATTTTAACATGAAATCAGATTTAACTGATTGATGTATATTTCATTCATCTATTATTTTTGAGTGCCTGAAGATATTTTTTTTTCTTTTCTTGATTGTTATATTATGAGATGTATTTTTAATTTTCTCATTACACATATAGAAAAATATAATTTTTATTATAATAAATAAGCAGAAAAAAAAAAAAAGATATATTCAGGTATAATTTCTTACACGTATTTTTTATCTGACATGAAGAACAGATACCAAATATTGCTTGTTATGCACTCAATAATATCCATGTTGACTCAGTTTATTGACCTGTATTAGATGAACTTGAGCTGTTTACATCATTGCTATTACTCGTGTAACTCTGATCAGTTGTGTTCTTGGTCTCCCAATTACTTGTTACATATATTATAGCTGCTGTTACTAGATTATAAAAATTAGAAAGTAAAATAAATTTAAGGATGTTCTACTTACTGTCATCAACTTCTGGTTTAAACATAATTTTTATTTCGAATTTTATTATAAAGTGATTTTGCTTTTCGATATTCATGCTTTTATGTGAAAATTTCTGGTGAGGACTTGGAATAAGGAAGTTTAAGGTTGAGTCATTGATAACCGTATGTATTGACGTCATCATAGGTTTTCAATTGCAAAATCACGAAGAAAAAGAACGAAGGACACATCATCAATACATAATTTCTTCATGAATTTGGAGATTTCCAATTGATTTTTTATTCCAACATTGCCTCATCTATTTGTATATCATGACTCTTATGTATCAATGAAATGTATGATTTTATTTTTTGGTTTTTATTCGTTAAGAAAAATGATATCCATATGTAAATTTCAAATGAAATAAATTAATCTTTAGTATAATTTTTAGTTGGTAAAAATCTCAGATGAAATAAAATGGTTAGATGAAAGGATTAGTGTATTACGTTCTTGTTTAGTTTTAAATAAATTTGTATAAAATATGATATGTCTTTTTTTCTCGTTCTTTGAAAAACAATATTAGATATTTATGTCAAAATTAAAAATCATAATTATTTTATTTATATTTGTTTATTTACAAAATTTTTATATTTATATGATCAAATATT